ATGCTGAATCTTATCAGCGGTACCGGGTGTCTCCTCCTCAGGAGCTCATAGATGAAGTGCTGAATTTCCTTCGAAAAAGAGTAGGCTATGTGAGATGTGTGTTTAAAAACTTTTGTAAGAATGACTCAGCATTTTGTTCATATGACGGTGTTTTACTTGTCTTTATTGAGGCTAAACTATAGAAAAGGATCAAGGAACTGAGAATCAAAGCTGTATCATTGTTTAGCTTATGAAACAGTGACCCTTGAGAGACATCCCACCTTTCCCAGAAGGTCCGGGAGTTTTCCGCATACTGATAAAGGCTAGCTCCCCGACGCCCGCAAATTATAGCCTATATCGCGGAAATCGAGCGTGCGAGAGAGAACACCTGTTTCCACCTGGTATAGATGTGTTTTCGTGATCCGATCACAAATAGTCAAGATTACTGTTATCATGCGTCTCCCGTGACCACTTGCGTTCGAACTTCCTATCCGCTTGTTACGTGCTGACGTAAGGAATGCTGTTTCTGGGTCCAAGCCTCATCTCGTTTCACTTGAGAAACTCAGTTTATAAACACTGTTTATTCATATTAAATATTTCAGCTAAACGTTTTCAGACTTACGGTGTACAGTACAGTATCCGTGCTCACAGCGTCCCAAACACAAATAATTTTTATATTTATTTATTTATATTTCTATTTTCATTGTCTGATCTGGGATTTCGGTATGGAGATAAAGGTTAGGATTATAATTTTTTGGTAGTATTATATCACATTGTGAATGTAGGCCTATATTAGCACCGTTTGTTTTTTTCTCGTGGCATCTGATAGAGCATTATTATTATTATTATTATTATTATTATTATTATTATTATTATCATCATCATTAATCAGAACAAAATATACAACAGTATACAAAAATGTACATAACTTGCCAGAGTGTACAAACCATTGATTCATGAATCAAAACTGCATATTCGTGAAAAAATATTACAAGTCCAATTTGCTTATTTATTATTATTATTATTATTATTAGGGCCCGAGCACCGATGGTGTGAGGACCCTATTGGAATTGCTCCGTTTCTTATTATTATTATTATTATTATTATTATTATTATTACCAATGTTCTCCAAACTGGTGCAGTAGTCCTTATCTCTTGAAGAAAATTAATGAAATTTGGCTTGGATCCCGACCATTTCTTATTATGTACGTGAAATTTTCCCAAAATATAAAAAGCTGTACAAGAAAAGTGAAATTATTATTATTACTTTCAATGGAATAATACTAGGCTACATATATCAAAATTATTTAACTTGAATATAATATTTGTTTTCCTTCTAATGAAATTTTCCATATCCACGCAGAAATTCCTTGTGTATACACAATTACAAAACAGATGGACAATAGACTCCTTTTTCCATTGAACAAAAATCACAGGAATAATCAATATCCTAATTAAATCTCTCTAACACACTTTTAGCTGGATATACACCATGTGTAATTTTAAATGTAACCTCTTTTACTTTACAGGTTACTTTACTACGCCAGGCTTTATTCCAATTTATATTTCTAAATACATTGGTCCACAATAATCCTTTATAAGTATCTGTATCACCTGTTATAACATTCCTAATATATTTGAAGAGTTTACTTGCAAAAAACAAATAACTGTTCAGAAATCATGTTTTTTTTATTATGCGATCATGTTTTTTTGTTGTGTTTTATTGTGGTTTACGCGAATAAATATAGGCTTAATATAGTTTAATATTTATTCACATTTAAGGTCCATTTACTGCATTAATGAAATTTAAAAAAGTAAACATATAAATAAAACTGATGTCATCATTTGTACACCCTCATGTCTGAAACCTTAAATTTTCTTTAGTTGGACACAAAATGCCAGATTTTTCAGATCGCATGACTTCAGAAGACTATAAAAAGGCAATACATAAAGATAGGCTACAAATTTAAATGATTTCGGTAGCGCTTAACTCTAGTGTCTTGCATGCAAAAGAGCAGCCTGGACTTATTTTGAGCTATGTGTGAAAAGAAAGAAAATATGATTTAGAACACAATGAGAGTGAATACATAATACTATAATTTTAAGTATCCTTGTAGTCTTCAAATTCTGGTTAAAGTCATCTTTTTAAAACACGAGCATTACTCTGTTTTACCTCTGTTAACAGATCCAGGGCTATCTTGATCTGGCAGTAGATGTGGGCTGTGGTTCAGGACAGGGCACTGAGCTACTCGCCCCTCACTTTCTCACTGTGGTCGGGATAGATGTCAGTCCAGCTCAACTGGAGATAGCTAGTGCCAAAGAGCATGCACCAAATGTGTGTTACAGGTATACAATAACTACATAAACACCTACAAGAAAATATAGACCTGAAGAACAATTCTTCATTTCATTATCCTTAAAAAACTATAACAATAATATGGTGAGAGTATCATATATGATGGTACTGACAAGATACTTCAAAGAATATCAAGGTACACGTCGCATGTCTAAAACAATGATAACCATAATACCATATTTTTATTTTTTGGTTCTTTTTAAGTTAGTGAATGTTCTTGATTAAACCTCACTATAGTGCGTTCAGGTCACATTCAACCTGACATGAATGAATGAGTGAATGACTGAATAAATAAATGACTGTAAAGGACCATTAAGATTATTTTTATGGCAAAAAAAATATTATTATTATTATTTTTTGCGTAATATATTTAATATACATATATAAAGTTATAAATTATCACATAAAAATGAATTTAAAATTACATTTCTTGAAATTTTCATGGTTGTCTTGTGCATAAATGCATTTTTTATTTTTTTTTCATGTTAGATTGATTTTGACATGGACACACTTTTATAAGGTTTAATACTGAACATTCATTAAATATATTTGGTATATTTTGGTAATTTTATAATTATAATATATATATATATGTTGAATTTGTATAATTGTATATATTTTTTTATAAAACTAGGTTTTTATCATCTTTTTAAAAATCTTTTTGTAATAGCTTATTTCCACTACAGTTTATACTCGCACTATAAATAACTCTGTTTATCCTATACTAAAATAATTTTGTACATTAAAAAAAACAAACAATTTTACCTAACTGATTTAATATACACAAGTTTACACACAAAAAAAGTAAAATTAATTGAGATGGAAATCTTCATGGCCTGAACAACTGGCTTTCTCATGCATTGTTCCCCCACTTTCGTAAGGTTTAATCCTGAACATGTATTAACTAAAAAGTAAATATATACATACACACGCAGTGTATGTACAAAAAAATATATACATTTACAGTTTTTATGTTATATTTTTAGTTATGTTTTTATCCACTTTTAAAAATCTTTCAAATCTTTTTCTCATTTTGTTTCCTAGTACAGTTTATGCTCACACTATTTATAACTCTGTTTATCCCGCTCCATTAGACAGAGCCCTGCAGAGGAGTTGCCCTTTGAAGATGATGTGGCTGACTTGGTTACATCCATGTCAGCTGCTCACTGGTTTGACCATCCGCGCTTCCTGCGGGAGGCAGACAGGATTCTGAGGCCAGGAGGCTGCCTCGCTCTGCTCAGCTACACCATGGATTTTGAGCTGGAATATGGAGAAAGCACCTCCAAACTCAATGAAATCTGTCAAGAGGTTAAATAAACCAACAAAATGTTTTATGGGTTGTTGTTCAGGAAACCTGCATTATAAATTCTTGATATGAGACAACACGTGTGTGACCTGCTGCTTTATTTTAATGGAATGGTATCCTTGCACTAGAGATCTTCAGTGTAAATTGTATTTTTTGATTCATAGTTCTATGCAGCCCTGCACCCTTTTCGGAAAGCTTATATAGGATCCAGTTCCCTAGAGGTCTACAAGAAGATCTATGACTCTGTGTCATACAATGATAAAGAGTGGTAAGTGTGAGTTTTATTACATGCTTTTATTGCATAGTACCTTTGCAATAATCCTATAAAAATAGTTCTTTTTTTTTTATGCACAATCAGCTTGTAACACCCCAAAGAGAAAGGAAAACTTGAAATCGCATCATATGACCCCTTTAAGAATATTTTAGATATAGCTTAATATTATATAATATTATATTAATGTTATAAATACTAAGAAGACTCAATTTTCGTCATGCAAAAATAATATTTTATAGATTTGAATTCCTGTATTTGTTTTCAGGCATGAATGTCGGAGGTGTCGGATGATTATGCCACTGTCAGGGTTTATTGGCTTGGTTGAAACCTTCTCTACCTATCAAGATTTCCTGGAGAAAGATCCTGTTGAGGCCAAGAGACTGTCTCAGACCATCACAGACTGGTAAAACAGACAGTCTCGGCTCATAAATAAAAAATCATGCTCTGAAAGAAGCAATAGCCAATGGATTTGCTACAGTGTAATGCATTAAATTAAATCAAATCACCATACTAAAATAGAATATCAAGAGTGGTGTGATAATCTAAATAATCAAGTCAGCACATTATCATGTTTATTTATTTATTTTTTGTTATTCACGTATTTCAGAAAATTTAATATATAATATTTATAAAACAGCATACTGTAATTAATAATTTTTGATTGAGTTATATTTTATTTTATTTGTATTATTCTACATTAAATTTTTTTTTTCAGGTTGCTGGAAGAAATGGGAGCCTCATCAACTGACACAGAAGTAACAGTGATAGTGAAATATTTCTATTTATTAGCCTCTAAACCACAGAAATCCTAAAATTATGTTTCAATCCCACAGAACCCTCTCTGTTTAAAAATGTCTCAATATTTCTAAAAACAATAAAGCATTTGTGTTTTATTTCTGTTCTGAAAATTTTAAACAATAAACACTCAACATCAAACTTGCATTATTATATCATGAGTTTTATAAACACGATCAAATAAAAATTAGATATAGTGCTCTTATCTCATGTAGCTTTGCACAAAAGGGCGGAATTTTTCTTTGTGGCGTTTGATTCCACACGGACTTTTTATTGAATGAACGAAACAACTTCCGGCTTCTAAACCGCTCAGGCAGCGGCAATCATTAAACTCAGCACTGAACTAATCTGCGCAGCATTCCACTCAATTCTATTTATTTTAGCGACTTTTAGGGTCTTTTATTTAGAAGTTATTTGGGGGGAAACGGTGTAAAATTCAGTTTGAATGTCCTGATTATGGTGTAAACGGGGCAGTTCAGTGACTCTGACAGAGGCAGGTACGTTAAGTGTAATATCGATCGCAGCCGAGTTATTTGACATTTTTAGAGTTGTATTATGAATGTAAAGATCTTTTAACCCCCTATGTTTCAGTATATAACAAGACATTAATCTCAGTTTCGATATAAATAATACACTGTGTAATGGGAATCAAGGTGTAGTTGATAATGAACATGTTAGCACAATAACGGCTCGAACCAAACCGGTAACTGATGATTACGAAAGTTTGTATTGTTTTATTTCATAACATCTGTGTCTGATAAGCTCATTATAGTCTCTACAATTTAGAAATGGGTTAAGAGTTTTAATATTCCCGGACAGAAAGAGCTGTAGCGGTACCGGGTTATAGTAACAGATGGTAATACCATGGTGCTTTGATTTATATAGTTCCTGTACCATGGTATTTACATAGCGTTCCAAGGTACTTAAAAGAATACCATGGTATTGACACAGTACATGTGGTATTGCATGTATTGCATTGTATTACACGTCCACAAAATGTTGTAGTTTGTAGTTCATATTAGAGACATGCCTATTACCGTGAAAACCAAAACATGGCAAAACCATGGTGCTTGATTCTTTCACATTAGAGCTGTTGTCTTTTGTGTGCAATTTAAGCTGTATACATTGTGGGAATGTAGTACAATATTTAGCAAGTCTGTTTTTCTTCCAGTATCATATTGTTGTTATTTAAGTAATGTAGTTCTATGTAATGGTCAGTATAATGTGAGACGAGTCCATACAAAATAACTGTCTTATGCTTTATTTGAACTCCAGTGTGGTTTGCAATTTGTATAAAAGCAGTCTGTTCTAAATCAATTACGTTAATTTCTGTTGATGACATAGTTTGCATGATCTTTGCAAACTCACTTATAATAATGCATTACAGTAGCTGCTTGTTTCAGAATACAAAAACAAGTGAACCTGAATAAATTATAATTGATGTACACACTTTAGCAGTTCACTCCTGCTATTATTCATTCAAAGCTTGTTAAATTGTATGTTTCTAAAAAGTATTCTTGCTGTATTCAATTTGACCCCAAATAGATAAGACAAAATATTATTCTGAAAAGTTCATGCCTACTTTATGATACAACAGCAGAGGATTAAAGCTTCAATAACACAATGATTTTCCAGATTTGGAATGAAGTCAGATAACGTGGCTAGGGTTGCAAAGGGGTGGGAAATTTCCAGTAACTTTCCAAAAATCCCTGGAATATTCCAAAAAAACCTGAAAAGTTTCCAAAATTTCTGGAATATTTCCAAAATTTACTGGAAATTTTCCACCTTTTTGCAACCCTAAACGTGGCATAAAATAATTATACAAAGCCATTTTAATGAATGTGTTAACCAACACTGAGACGCTATTTTAATTTTTATTAATAGTTTGAATTAGTTTTTATTTATGTATTTATGTTTTCCATTATTTTAAAGTTTTATTAGTTTTTGTTTATATGTCTATATAGTTTTTATTCATTTTTATTTCAGTTTTAGTTATTTTGGTACATCACTTAAAACTAAATGAAAATGAGAAATGTCTTGTTGGCAACTAGCTGAAATAAAATGTTTAGCCACCCTTTTTTATATTTTATTTTATTGAGTTAACATTTACTTTATTTCAAGCAACAAAAAGGTTAAATTTAGTTAAGTACAACGACCCTGGTGTTCACCATCTTTGTGTGTGTTTGTGTTTCTCACAGGTGTGTGAGAGTGTGTATGTTGGTCTGCTGGTATGCTGACGTTAGCCAGTAAGCTGAAGAGGGAGGAGGGCGTGAGGGCCGGCCGGACCCCTGCAGGCTCCAACGATGCCTCTCATAGAGTGTCCGTCAGAGATCGCCTGCTCATCAAAGGTACCAATCACTGACCAAACACTCCTCCTGTCTGCTGGGATCATGATACTGGAGCAGTGGTTCATGACCAGTTATTCAGTCTGTTCTGATAGGGTCACGGACGAATTAGGCATGTCTGTTTTGTGTGACATGATTTTATCCACAAAAACCATAAAGGAATAGTTCACTCAAAAATAAAAAATGTTGTCATCATTTACCCAACTCATCCATCTATCCATCTATCCGTCTATCCGTCTGTCTGTCTGTCTGTCTGTCTAGTGTTCTATCTAGTGTTATGTCATTCTATCTATCGTTCTATCTATCGTTCTGTCATCTGTCTCTCTGTCTGTCTATCTATGTATCGTTTGTTCTATCATTCATTCTGTTATCTATCTATCTATCTATCTATCTATCTGTCTATCTGTGTCTGTCTGTCTGTCTGTCTGTCTGTCTAGTGTTCTATCTAGTGTTATGTCATTCTATCTATCGTTCTATCTATCATTCTGTCATCTGTCTCTCTGTCTATCTATGTATCGTTTGTTCTATCATTCATTCTGTTGCCTATCTGTCTGTCTGTCTGTCTGTCTGTCTAGTGTTCTATCTAGCGTTCTGTCGTTCTATATTGTTCTGTCATCTGTCTCTCTGTCTATCTATGTATCATTTGTTCTATCATTCTTTCATTCCGTTGTCTATCTATCTATCTATCTATCTATCTATCTATCTATCATCTATTATTCTGTTGTTTGTTCTATTGTTCGTTCTGTTATTCTATTTATCTATCTGTTGTTCTGTCGTTCTATCTATCTATTGTTCTGACATTATATCTATCTATCTATTGTTCTATCTATCATTCTATCTATCTATCTATCATGATTCAATACATTGTAACTGGATCATTAATTACACTGCCAAACTCTTGTGAAAGAGTAGGGCCGGTCTGAATCTGGGGAGCGTGATGAGTGGAGTTGTGTTGTGCGGTGACTGTCTGCAGGGAGTTGTGGTGCCAGTAAACTTGTGTAAGGTGATGTGATGCAGGCCAGATCAGGAGAGCATAGGGCTGGACAATAATTCAATATCAATATGTATCGCGATATAATTTTTTTCAATAACGGTGATATGATTTTTAAACACATTTCCGAATCGTCCAGCCCTAGGAGAGCAGTAGACTCTATTTATAACAGCCCGAGAGGAGGAGTCTGTATGCCATTACCAGCAGCTTAAAAAGCACTTCCCATCGACAGTCAAACACTCAGGCTATGTTCTGAATCAGTGAGGCCATTGGATCCGGCCCAACTCAACATTTAGAGATGGTGTCATGAGAATGCAGGTGGACATATATAGCTAGATAGAGCTGTGTCTTGTATCTGTGTTCCATAGACCATAATTCCAATAATAACAAATTCAGAGAAGAATAAATGAGTATATCATTCTAAAAAAAGCTGTTCATGTCTCGCTTAGTAAAAGCTGGTTCTATAAGTGTCTTTGTTACCCATCAGTACTAAACACCACTCATGCTTTGATCTGTTCACAGAGGTTTCAGAACTTGAGGCTAACCTTCCAAGTGAGTATATTCAGGTCATTTCTTATGCTCTTTAAGGATGCACAATATATTGATACTACTTATTAATTATTATTGATTGAAGGACAGTACAAATCTAAATGAGTAAAGAAGGCAGTATGTATGTATATATTTATTGTTTTAACCTTTAACATTTGCTGTCATTTGTCTTTAAAAAGCAATAATTTAATACATTTTAACAATAATAAAAAAGTATACATTTTTACACTGTACATTAGAGTGTTGTGATTATCTAAATTCACTTAAAATTATTGGTTTAAATTTTTTTATGTTCTTTTGACAACATGAAAATAATTATTGGCTTATCAGTATTGCTTTGGTTTTAAAGGTGTATCCCTAACGTTCGTTCTTTTTTTATACATCTATAAACCTGTCTGGATGTGCCAGCTGTAATACAGATGTTAATTTTTGTGTGTGTGTGTGTGATTTATGAACTCTTATTCTAAACATTAATTATTCTAAACATTTCTGCAGATACCTGTAAAGTAACGTTTCCTGATGAAAACAAACTCTATCACTTCCAGTTGGCCATTTCACCAGGTAATTCTGGCCTCTTTTCTGAAAGATTAAATTGTAAACATCCATTAAATGCAGATGCTGTTGAACAGTGTAAAAGAGTTTACCTGACCTACTCATACCCAATATAAGGCCTATGCGTACAGATCACAAGTATTTAAAATAAAACATTGTATGCACTTCACATTCACATAACCTTATGAGCAATACGATATTATCTTTTGTTAATATTTTCTATTATCTTTTGGGTTATGTGTCCTGAACCAGCAGAGGGAACAACAAAAACCATTTGCGATTTTCATATCGTATTGCTTTTTCACATTGCTCCTTGTGTAAATAGTCCTTTGCTCATTTTCTTTTTCATTATAAGTATCTATTAAATGTTATCTATTTTGCGAGTGAAAATATAACCTTACATTTCTGCAAAACACCTCATCAGATGAAGGCTATTACCTTGGTGGAAAGTTTCAGTTTGAGATTGAAGTTCCCGAAGCCTATAATATGGTGGTAAGTGCCTGTGACATATCATGAAGTAATGAGGTAATGCCACACTTATTCACTCGCAGTGCTACGATGATTTTATTAGTCCATTTGTAAGCGGGGCTGTTAAAAATATGTTTGTGGGCATTACTGATGCTCTGCAGTGTCTGCATTCAATAAAACAGCTGCCCGAGTGTGCCCACGCAAATGCACACATATATAACACAACCCATCCTTGACCTCAGAACACCTGTAATAGCCCAGTAAAGGCTGTGCAGAGATCTACACATGGACCCTCAACCCTGGTATCTAAGTTTAGAGCAAAATAATGAAATATTACTGAGGCACAAGGCATTAAAGAAGCAATATTTATATTTGGACTATTGTAGCCTGGTCGGGTCGTCACCGCTGCGGAGTAACACATACCTGCGTGAATCGCCATAGACATAAACTTGGAGAAGTAGCTCCGGTTGGAATGTTCTTCCGCGGGATGTGTGCAGTTCTGTTTATTAACCGCTAGAGCGCCAAAAGTTACATAGTGCTGCTTTAAGCATAGCATTTATACAGTGATTATATAGCTTAAATAAGTGACTAGAAGTAATTAAAATGAAACCTACAATTAATCTTGCAGACTATTTCTGTTGTAATTGGATGGCGCTTTTAGTCTTGTTCATTTCTGTTTTACGTGTACAAGAGCTAGGGCAATCTGCAAAATATCTTTTTTTTTTGTTCCATTGAAGTGATTAAAATCATACAATTTTAGAATGACATTAACTTTACTGCTATAAACCCCACACAAATCCAAACGGGCTGTAAGACAACCGCTTTTCTTTCTGCTTTCCACAGCCTCCCAGAGTCAAGTGCTTGACTCGAATATGGCATCCAAACATTGCAGAAACTGGGGAGATCTGTCTGAGGTATGTATCTGTGTTTGTCGTTTATTCACATGTTTTAATGGATCAGAATTCAGATTGTTTTGATTATTTTGACAGCTGTATTTGTGTTCTTTAAATTATAATTATGTTAAAATCTCTCCTATTTCTTTCTCCAAGTTTATTGCGAGAGCATTCAATTGATGGTACTGGATGGGCACCCACTCGTACTCTAAAGGTAATTGTGTTTTTGTAATGCATCTTGGAAAAATTCATTACAGTGTTTTCTAGGCAGAACTGTATTGAAATGCCTCATATTCTCTTTCTTTCTTTCTTTCTCTCGTTCTTTCTTTCTTTCTTTCATATTTGTGTATTTTTAATTTTTTATTCCTTATTTTACTTGTTCTATTTTTTATTTTTTTTTTATTTTTATTTTTTATTATCTGTGTTTTTTTGTTCTGTCACTGTCATTCTGTTACACTGTGGAAGCTTCTGTCACGAAAACAAATTCCTCGTATGTGTAAACATACCTGGCAATAAAGCTCATTCTGATTCTGATATGCCCTTAAATAACTATACTTTTTTTAATATTTGGGTTAACAGCTTTTTAAACCATCATTTTAATTTTTGATGTTTTTCCAGCATTAATATTTTATATTTTCTTTAGAAAATGCAAATTATAACAAGTATAAATATTTTATTTAAATTGGTTATTTATTACAAAAAAGTTATTTTTTTTTTTATGTATGTGTGTTAGGGGCCATTCACACAGAACTTATTTTTGCATTCCACTACCTTGATTTTTCGTTGTTTTTCTATGTAAATGTGCTAGACCAATGTCTTGAGGACTATGCTTATGTGTCACATCTTTTGCAGTCTTGCATGACACTGCATTCAAAAAACTGCGGCGCTCAAGTTAAATGTAATTGCTAATCTGTATTATTCCACCCATTTTTTTGTCTCTAGGATGTAGTATGGGGTCTGAATTCACTCTTCACTGTAAGTACACATGAAACAATCTTGGATAATCAAATTTTTTTTATGTTAAAAATCGTCATCTTTCAGTGGGAAGGCCAACATATGTGTTGTTTCTTTCACAGGATCTTCTTAACTTTGATGACCCACTGAATATAGATGCAGCGGAACATCATTTACGGGACAAGGTAGAGCACCAGCACACATCTAAACATGTTTACAAACAACATTTTTTGGGAATGTATTGGTTAAAGAAAAAAAAAAAACTAAACATAATCATCCTGATATTATGTATATTGGCAATATAGTATTTAATATATATATATATAATGCTCAATATATATTGAGCCCTATGTGCAGTGCATTTGCAGGTATGCGTTTCATCCAAACCCATAAATTTCCTTAATGCTTTTTGTTTTAGGAGGATTTCAGGAACAAAGTTCAGGACTTCATAAAAAACTATGCAAGATGATGTCTCTGTTGAGCCACACTCATATGCATGTGACTTTGCAGATGTACGTCGATCCAGACTGCAACAGAGACAAAATCTCAAACTATTAAAACATACTTGGGGAAAGAAGAAAGTTAAAATGCGTAATGAATGACGCCGCGAGTCCCTGATCAAGATTTGGGAGGGGGGAATGTGGGCCTTACTGTCCATTTCCGATGGCTTTTTTTTTTTGGAAGCGGACACTCATGCAGGTTCTTCTAAATCAAGTTTGCTTTTACCCCCCAACCCCCCACAAAAAAGAAAAGAAAAAGAAGTACAAAGATGGTTATGAAAATGAGGACCTCTCTGATGTCACCTCCTATGCTAGTGCCTCTGTGTTTTTTGCCACATATAACTGGACATACGTTTTAAGCCAACTTCTGCAGCCTGCTTCTTCTCAAATCTTGACAACCTACAAACACTGAGATTAATTTGTTCATAAGTGATGTCATAGAAATCCCAAAGTTCCATTGGTTCATTCGCTCTGGGGAAGGAGTCCACCAATGAGGAATCGCAAAAACATAGAGCACTAATGTCCCGCAGAATACGTGGGTGGGTTTCCGAGCGGATTCTGTGAAGCCATTTCTTGTAACTCGGCACCTCTCTTCATGTAAAATCACTGCAGTTATCAGACTACTCCGTATCACATGTGCACACGCGCAAATATAAAAATATCTGTGGGTGCCTCTGAATGAGTTCTGAAACTGTTTCAGTTCAAATATGTGAGGTGTTTGCGGGTGAATCTCATGATTGTCCGGGACACATTTTTATGGAAGCCAGTTTACACCACGAAATAAAAGTAAAAAATTTAATTGCAACCTTTTATCTAACAATTCTGACTTGATATGCAACAAAATATAAACTCAGAATTGCGAGAAAATCTGAATTCTGAGCGGGAAAAGTCAGAATTCTGAATTACTTTGTCGTAATTCCAAGTGTATATCTTGCAATTTTGACTCAACCCCCCCCCCCAATTCTGTGTTTACATCTCGCAATTCTATTTTTTTTGCTACGGAATAAAAAATAAAAAATGGCAATTGAAAGTGAGTTTATATCTCATAATTTGGACTTTTGTTCTTAGAATTGAGAGTTTATCTCGCAGTTGCGAATTAACATCTCACAATTCTAAGAAAAAAGTCTGAATTACGAGGTTAAAGACATAAGAACATAATAATTGTAAGAAACTCAGAATTGTGAGAAAAGAAAGTTTGAATTGCAAGATAAAAAGTCACAATGTCCTTATTATTATTTTAATCCCGTGGCGGAAACGAGCTTTCCTACATTTTACCCACAAATCAAAGGGAATAAGCAAGAAACTCTATTTTGCATATAATGAAGATGTGCTGATAAAGATTTTGAGTTGAGACATTATTTTTATGATAAATTAAGCATGTTTTCCCCACATTTAAACAATATATATAAGTTTTCCTGCATTGGGGCAGTGAGTATTTTGTCAAAACTATGCTTAATTATCATCAAATAATACAAAAAAAGCTAAATATTATTTCCTGTTACTTTTAATGTTTGGGTGAAATATGACCCAAACATGTTTAGGTCGGGTTTCGTGAGATTCACTCTTGCTCTCGTATGCATTTTCGTCATTGTATACACGTTCAGCTTTACCGATGTGTGCATGTACACAAGAATACCTGTATGCTTGTACTGTGTTTGTGTGAAAGTGTGTGTGTGTGTGTGTTTGAGCGGGAGAGACTGGAATTTTAATACATGTCTGATTTGGTAGCATGCACTGGGCTACTGAACTGCTCAGCCATAAAGCCTGTTCAATTAGTGAGGATTTACTTTATTTAAATTGATTTATTTTTCTCCTTAGAGGTGTATATCCATTTGTAAAGCATATTAAAGAAGAATTCTACCACTAAGTAAAGATTTGGAGTAATTTGTGCTTAAAATTTTACAGTTTGCTTTTATAATTTTAAGAGCTTAATAAGAGCTTATCATTGACTTTGTCTTAGAGTAGTGAGCCGCCTACCTAGACAGCATTTTTAGGCATTATAATACGAGAATTTGCACAAAAGTGCTGTCTAGGTAGTTGCTCTACTAGAGCTTTAAGTGGAAAAGGGTATGAAATGTGGAGCTTTGTCTCTGTATGTGTCCGTTAACATTGGCTGGGTCTGAACTTGGTGAGCGTCCCTTCTGAGACACATTTTTGGGATTCATATAATGTAAATTTGCCTGTTGCCAGACTCCGATTTCTTAACTTTGATTTCATCCCATCGGAGAATATCAAACACGCTTGATATTTCAAGCCGATTTTAGGACACATATTGTTTTCATTTGTCATGCATCTCCTAGCAACAAGGCACATTTTTGTGTGAGTTTGTGTTTGGAGGGACTGTTTGGAGGAAAGTCAGGTAGTTTTTCCTCTCTAACCATTTACAAAGTCAGCAAGTTTATGATGCCTAGTGTTTAAAATCGGTTCAGATTTTAAAAGTTGTATGTATTCCAGTTTTAAGGCTGTGTTTGAGTACCAATGCACTGCTTACTGCATGCTGTGCAGTATACACTGAATATGACTGATTTTCCAAAATAGTTTTTTTTTTTTTTTTTAAATCTACATATATATATTCCATATTATGGAATGATAGAAAATTTAGTAATCAGTGTGCGTATTCCAGTTTTAAGGCTGTGTTTGAATACCAATGCACTGCTTACTGCATGCTGTGCAACATACACTGAATATGACTGATTTTACAAAATAGTTTTTTTTTTTTTTTTTTAAATCTACATATATATATTCCATATTATGGAATGATAGAAAATTTAGTAATCAGTAGTATTACTGAAATCCATAGTATGCTACATTAAAGTGCATGTTTATTTCATCGTTGCATCTATTAATCATTGCAGAAACAATAATAATACTTTTAAATAGCCTAATTTTGTGTAAAAATGTTTTAACATTGTAGTCTAATAATATTCAAATAATAACAATAATAAAATCTCTTATTGTGTCTGGTACACTAACACTGGAAATCTACACGGTAATGTCAATCACATTACAGTACTGTATTCACAGTAGCCTCCTTGGTTGTATACTGTACATTTTGGTATTCAGTGCATACAAAAAATTAGCATACTATGCACAGTAGGTATACAATATAGGGTGATTACAGGTATATTGCAATCCAGAATTCACCCTTCTGCAGAATTAGAATGAATAGTATGATATTCCAAACTAAGGTTTTGAACACAGCCATTGTGTTTGTTTTTATATTTGCACCAGATGGCGCTATTGTTTCAAAAATGGTTTTGCATATTTTGAATGGCTAATAACAATAATAAAATCTTTTATTGTGTCTGGTACACTAACACTGGAAATCTCTACGGTAATGTCAATCACATAGCCTTCTTGGTTGTATACTGTACATTTTGGTATTCGGTGCATACAAAAAAATAGCATACTATGCACAGTAGGTATACAATATAGGGTGATTACAGGTATATTGCAATCCAGAATTCACCCTTCTGCAGAATTAGAATGAATAGTATGATATTCCAAACTAAGGTTTTGAACACAGCCATTGTGTTTGTTTTTATATTTGCACCAGATGGCGCTATTGTTTCAAAAATGGTTTTGCATATTTTGAATGGCTTGTACATGTAGAACATGCTGAAGGAATACTTACATAGGATAAAATAGATATTACACATCTTCTATTTTAAAACTAAAATAGATACGATACACCTCAACCCTTAAAACCCTTATGGTAATGTGGAAATACCACGTCACTGAATGATTACTCTATTCTTATACCATGATATTTATGTGGTTCTTCGTGGAATAGTAGGTTGTCATTATGCATGTTCAAGAAACATTGTGTTACCGTGGGTACCAAGTACTGTATAAAAAGCATTAAGACTTGCGAAGTTGATGCAATTAGGGGGGGGGG